GCAGTGGGACGACCTGGGCAGCAGCACCTCTCCCTGCTCCCAGGCCAGCGATGATGAGGCCAAGACTGGCAGCCCTGTGAAAGCTGAGCCCTTCCCCACACCCAAGAAGGATGACTTGGCTCTGCCCTCGCTCAGCCTCATCGCCACCAGCGCCGGCAACACGGAGGTTGGCAAGCAGGCAGCAGAGAGCAGCCAGTCCTACACAGGTACCCAGGGCTGGCAGGAGGGTGGGGAGACATGCTTGGGTGTGGTGGCCTTGGCTTGGGGCAGGGATAAGCTGCTCATGTGCATTTGAGGGGAGCCACACTCCAAGACCAAGGATCTTGGCTGCCTTTTGTCACCAGCTGGATCTGCTGTGTCCCTCCTGTGCCACTCCATGTGGTGGTGGCTGTCTATGTGTGTGGGTGATGGCTCTCCATGTGTGTTGGGGATAGCTCTCCATGTATGTCAGGGTGGTGGCTCTCCATGTGTGTTGAGGATAGCTCTCCATGTGTGTGCACGAGAGCTCTCCATGATGTCAGCAGTGGCTCCACATCTATGTTGGTGATGGCTCTCCATGTGTGTGGGTGATGGCTCTCCATGTGTGTTGGTGATGGCTCTCCATGTGTGTCGGGGATAGCTCTCCATGTGTGTTGGTGAGAGCTCTCCATGATGTCAGTGGTGGCTCCACGTGTATGTTGGTGATGGCTCTCCATGTGTGTCGGCAAGAGCTCTCCATGATGTCAGTGGTGGCTCCACGTTGTATGTTGGAGATGGCTCTCCATGTGTGTCAGGGTGGTGGCTCTCCATGTGTGTTGAGGATAGCTCTCCATGTGTGTGCACGAGAGCTCTCCATGATGTCAGCAGTGGCTCCACATCTATGTTGGTGATGGCTCTCCATGTGTGTTGGAGATGGCTCTCCATGTGTGTCAGGGTGGTGGCCCTCCATGTGTGTGGGTGATGGCTCTCCATGTGTGTGGGTGGTGGCTCTCCATGTGTGTGTGTGGTGGCTTTCCATGTATGTAGATGATGGCTCTCCATGTGCGTTGGGGATAGCTCTCCATGATGTCAGCGGTGGCTCCACATCTCTGTTGGTGATGGCTCTCCATGTGTGTCAGCTGACAGAATCCGAAGCATCTCCAGTGGGGCTGGAGGATGCAAGACAAGATGCTGAGATGTCTCCTCTCCTTCCAGCCACTCCCCTGGACATTCCCAACATGTTCAGCTTCTGGGAGGACCGGCAGGCAGCGCACCCTGCAGAGCCCCTGCAGCACATCTCGCTGGTGCACAGCTCGCAGGACGTGCCCCTGCACGGCGACTGCAGGCCCGGGCACATCGAGTCCAGGCTGGAGCTCCTGCAGGCCCAGCTCAGCAGGTGGGCAGGGGTGGAGAGGACCTGGGGACTCTGGGCCATCACCTTCTGCTTTCTAGAGGTGGCTGCAGTGGGACACTGCATTCCTGGGGAGGGTGAGAGTGCTTTGCAAATGCAGCGGCTTCTCAAAGGGCAACTCCTGACCCTGACTGCAGCCCAGCCCCTCATCTGGGACCTGCCACCACCCTTGGCATCTGTCACCACCCCAGAACCTCCCTGACACTGTGGGTTCTGCTGCCCTTGTTGAGCTCATTTCACCACACACTTGTGTTTGGGTGTCTCTCCAGTGCACCATCGTAGCCCTGTGGGACTACGATGCACCATCTGCCCACTCTGTCAGTGATGCTGTGACTGTGTCCTGCAAGTGGGGCTGTGCCCACTCCTGCCAGAGTTGTTCACTTTAAGGACAAGGCAGAAAGAAGAGACTTCTACTTTTCTGTTTTCTTCTGTTCCCGAGTTAAAAGTGGTTGGCACTAACCTGCTTTGCTCCATCTGTCAGCACAGGCATCTGGCCTGGAGAATTGATCCAGATTAAAACTAACCATTGCGATTTTTTCCCCCCTCCAGGGTAATTTTAGCTTTTTTCAAATCCCCGCTCCAGATCCCAGTTTGGCTCCACATAAAATTGGGCAGAGGATGATTGAGTGTGGCAGGAGAGAGATGGCAGGATTGATCTCTCTCTGGCAGGGCTGGTCTGAAGCTCTCTAAAAACCTCAACAAGCAGCAGGCAAAGCATCACTGCCCTGGGGTAGCGGGACTGGCACCTCCTCCCAGTGCAGGATGCAAAAGGGTTCTCTGGCTGCTCTGTCCCCAGGCTGGAGTCCAGGATGTCGTCAGACATTCATGTAATCCTGCAGCTCCTGCAGCGCCAGCTGTCCCAAGTGCCGCCCGCCTACAGCCCCATCTCGCCCAGCTCCCAGAGCCTGGCCATGTACGGCATCGTCCCCCGGAGCCTGGAGCCGCTCGCCCCCTGTGCAACGCTGCAGGACCAGGAGCTGCCCACCCAGGAGCAGGTAAGGGCACCCCAGCTGGCTCAGCACCCACCAGGGTCCCTCTGCCCACCCAGGAGCAGGTAAGGGCACCCCAGCTGGCTCAGCACCCACCAGGGTCCCTCTGCCCACCCAGGAGCAGGTAAGGGCACCCCAGCTGGCTCAGCACCCACCGGGTCCCTCTGCCCACCCAGGAGCAGGTAAGGGCACCCCAGCTGGCTCAGCACCCACCGGGTCCTTCTGCCCACCCAAGAGCAGGTAAAGGCACGCCAGCTGGCTCAGCACCCACCAGGTCCTTCTGCCCCAGTCCCGAGTTCTCTCCAGGCAAGGCACAGCTTTGCACACTCATGGGGCCCAGCAAAGCCATGGGGTCTTGCCTTGGGAGCAGATCTGCCCAGTGCATCTCTGGTTTTGGGGCACAGCTGCCATCCCCAATGCCGCCACTTTGCCCCATCAGTAGGGAAGGTAGTGGTTCCTCTGCTCTGAGGCTCCCCCAAGTGAAAAATAACATTTTGGGACAGGAGCCTGATAAGGAAAGAGTGTGACTACTTTATTTTGCTTTTACCATCTCTTATACAATTCCTCATTTCCCACCAGAGCCCGAGCTACACGGAGGTAGAAAAGTTCCACTTGAAATCCAGGGACTCCTTGTCAAGCGGGATGCAGCTGTCTGCGTCATCCGACAAAACCCTGACCGTCTACTCCGAGCAGGAGCACCACTCCCCACCTCTGCCCAGCCCTGAGCCTCCCCACCAAAGGGCACCAAGCACCCAGGGACTCTCGCGGGGCTCTCGTTTCCCTTCCCTCCCCGAGCACTTGGAGGCATCTTCCGAGCACCAGGACATTCAGAGACACCTCTCCGACCCCGTGCTTCCTGCAAGTTAGAGACGTGGGGGCCAGTCAAGAGGAACCTCAACTGCAAGCCCGGCCAGTTGATGTTGATTTTGACTGCAAGGGTAAGACATTGGACAATGCCATTGGCTCAGGGGTATAATTTGTAGCTATCTTCTGCCACCGTGACGGGAAGGATAGAGTGGCTGGCTTCCGAGGTCAACGTTTTCCAGCGGTTCCCATAGAGTAGATTTCATTTGCACATTAGAGAGAACCTAGAACAGTTCTTACAGCCACCACCGAGCTGGTTAGGCCGCGTGGTTCCCACCACCTCCTCCTTGCCAAGGCTTCTTCTCGAGAAGGGCACAAGCCAAGCGAGCCACAGCAGCCACAGGAGAGCAAATCCAGGGCTCTGGGCTGCGAGGCTGCTGTGCTGGAAACCTCTGGAGCAGGGACCACTGACAGGGACCCTTAAAGAAGGGTGGTCACCAGAGGAGGAGTGTGAGATCTCCATGGTGTGGTCCAGGGCAAACTGCAGGTGGCAAGCCCAGGACAAGGACAGAGGACAGAAGCTTGTCCTACTTGATTGCCACTGAGAAGTGAAGGGCCAGCAGCCCGTGCCACCTCAGCCTGCTTCAGCACGAGTCCCAGAGCACTGACTTCTCCAGCGAGGCTGATCACACCTTGCAAACCCCAACACGCATCCCACGGCTCCCCGGGTAAATCCAGCTCATCACCGGCCTGGGCATAAAGCACAAAATTCAAAAGCACAATCCCAGAAAGCTGAAAAGCCCCATGTCCAGTCCTCAATCCCAGGCTCTCTCTTTTGATAAGGGTTCCATAGGTGCTTCCCCCTGCCCACCCTTCTCTCTGCAGAGGCCGTAGGAGAAGCCCACGTAGCGCTGCCGCCTCGCCGCTCGCTCGGGTAGATGCTGTGATAGTCCTAGGCCGCCAGCTCAAGTAATGTATCGAGCTCCCTCCGAGAGTAGTCAAACTGTGAGCAGCTCTTTCTCCGGAGTTTTAGTGTACACTTTGCTAATAAAGATGTTTTTGGCACCTAATGTGAATTACGGCTGTGTTGGTTGGGAGCATCCATGAATTCAGGCCAGGCATCTTGGCCCCAAAAAGGTCAAACCCAGGTTACTTCATGCAAGGAGTGTGGGGCTGGCAGAGCCCACCTGCAGTCAGGTCAAATAAACACCATAATTAACCTCTCGTTAATTAGAGATAAGCCCGGGCCCGTCCGCCACTCGGCCGAGGCGGGATTCGAACTCGTGGCACACTCGAGAGCCTGAATGGCCCCACCCGCCTCGGGCTGGCGTGACTGACATCGCTGCCAGCCAATCGATCATCGATAAGGACCCAAGATCCCGCCTCCAGTCACTGCGACCCCGGGTAGCCAATAAGATGTCGACAACGAGCGCGCCCGCCCTCCTGGGCGGGGCCAAGCGCAGCCGTAGGTTGTCCCAGCCAGAGCGCGAGCGTCCGTTTGGAGTGAAGGGTAAAAAGACCAATAGAAAACCGAAACGAGCCAAGCGCACAGGCAGATTATCCAATAGGCAGCCGGCGCTCTAAATGACAGTCAAGCCATCCAACCCGCGCGCAGTGGGCGGGGCTCCCCGCGTGGCTTCCGTTCCCGTTGTGTGAGAGGCCGAGTCCCAAACGGCCTCAGCGCCGCTGCCGCCGCCGGGTCTGGGCCGGGGCCGGGGGCCGAGCCGGGGCCTCCCCGTTCCCCCGGGGGCCGAGCCGCGCCTCCCCCGCCGCTCCGAGAGCCGAGCCGAGCCTTGCCCGCCTAGGGGGCCGTGCCGTGCCGTGCTTCCTGCGCTCCCCATCCCGGGGGCCGCGCTGAGCCTCCCCCCGGCCCGCCCCGCCTCCCCGCTCGCTCCAGCCGGGCCCCTCCGCTCGCTCCCCGGGCCAGGCCCGCGGCCCCCCCGGCCCAGCCATGTCGCTGCACGGGAAGCGGAAGGAGATCTACAAATATGAGGCGCCCTGGACCGTGTACGCCATGAACTGGAGCGTCCGGCCCGACAAGCGGTTCCGCCTGGCGCTGGGCAGCTTCGTGGAGGAGTACAACAACAAGGTGGGCAGCGGTGGGCGCAGGGGCTGGGGCGAACAGGGGCTGGCCCGCCTCGTCCCGGGGCTGGGTGGGCGGGGGGCAGCGGTACAGAACCGTCGGGTGCCCCCCGAAGTGCGGGAGCTGCACCGGGGTCAGGCTGGTCTCCTAGCGAGCCCTGGATGCTGCTGGGTTTGGGATAACGCTGCTGCAGGGCTTCTGGTGACCTCTCATCTTCGGTATTAACGATTGGATTGACTTCAGCCATATAAACACCGTGTGCCGTGAGTTCTCTGTGATGTAAAGGGCTGGGAGCTAAAGGTGTGAGTATGGGATGAGTGTGGATGCTGCTGCTCTAGAAATTAAACAAGGTCCCCTGGCTTGGGCATATCTGGCTTTTTTTGGTCAATACAAAGGAAAGTTCATGGCCAGGATTGAGGTTTGTACATATATATGCATATAGATATAAAGAATCCACCTCAGTCTGAGGAACTTCTTTCCGTGGAGGGTAGCAGAGCAGTGGAACAGGTTGGTCAAGCAGCTTGTGGAGTCTCCCTTTCTGGTGACATTCCAAAGCCACCTGGATGTGTTCCTGTGTTACCTGATCCAGGTTATTCTGCCTGGAAAAGGGGATTGGACTGGATGAGCTGAGTTTCATTCCTACCCCTGTGATTCTGTGATGTACAGGGTGTCTGAGACTGTTGGAAATGTGCTGTTCTCGTTGTACTTTCTTGCTGTGGTGATAACTTTTTCATAAATATATAAACCACTCTCAGTATTGATCCCTCAGTACTTTTCCCCGAGAACAAGGGTGTAATGAGGCATGAGATTGTATCTTCAGTGTTTCCCTGCAAAGTGTAAGTGAAGAATGTCACACTGGTAACAGAGACTGTGTTTATCTCTCAAAACACATGTGCAGTCACTTCTGAACAACCTTCAAGGTGCTGGGCTGGTATAATGAATTATATAGAAGTAGAGATGAGAAGATGGATGAAGTTATAGAGCATCCTGAAATTTCTGTGAAGCTGAAGGTTTGCCCATAGAGCTTGGTTTATACATGTAGCTTTGTCAAGGTGTTTAATGGAGATTGTGGAGAATGCCATCAGAATGTTGGGGTTAGGGCTCTGTGCAAGGGTGTGGTGACATCTCTTAGGGTGGTTAGATCACTGCCCTCACAGCAGTCCTCAGTGTGGGCTTTGCTGAGCACGTTGTAGTTCAGGCAGTGTCAGCCCTGTGTGAGAGTTGTGTCCTTCTCCTGGAGACCTGGGAATGCTCCTGGGGACAGGAAGGGCCTGAGCTTGAAAACTTCCAATTTGTTCAAAGACCAGCTTGGAAACATTTTTCTAGTCTGTACTCTGAGAAGGTAAAAGAGCAAATCTGCTCACCCTGTCAGCCCTCACATTAATGGGCTCTGGGGCACAGACTGAAGCTGCTTGCCAAGACCTGTTTGAACCCCAGTGAGTTTTGTTTCAGCTTGTCCACCTTCACTGATCAAATGACTGCTACAAGAAGACAGATGCCATGCTCTGGATGGAGGAATTAAATAATTTGAGGTGGAGTTTCCTAAACTTCTTGGATTGGGAAACTGCAGTGAGCCACTCTAACCCTCATGGGTCAGTGTCACGATGGGAGGGAACAGTGTTCTTGCTATTTAAAATGCTCCTGGCTGTGGCTTCATGGACCAGGAGATATCTGTAGAAAACACCAGAAAAGGCTGATTTTTGGGATCTATCTGCAAGACAAAGGTGGAATCCAGTTTAGGAGACAGCAGAGGTTGTGGTGTGCACAGCACTGGAGCAGACGGACAGGTTCTGACCAGGTGCTGCCCAGATCTCCACCTCCTCCCAAGCAGGGTTCAGGGCAGTTCTTCTGCCAGAACCTCATTTGTTCTGTAAGATCTAGCACTGCAAGCAAAAATTGATTGAATGCTGGAGATTGATTGGTGCAGTGACATCTTTCTGATTGTACATGACCCTAAAATAATAGTGAAATGTCATTTTGGGTAGTTACTAATTACATTAAAGTTTTGGGGGATTTCAAACTACTATGGACTTCACAGTTCCTCCAACCATATGAGAAAAAGAAGCTGTTCCCAAATTCTGCATCATTTAGTTCTGATTCTTTAGTATCAAGTTGGAAATAGTGTTTTTTAGAAGTTAAGGAATGCTGATTAAAGGTGATTCTTTACTGACATGCACTGTTGCAATTATGCTTTATGTTGATAAGTGCTTGGATTATAATATGCTAAAATTAGATGTGGATCTTCCTATCTTGAAGTGTTGGAGCAACAAATAAATACTTAGCATTCCTAGTTACTGTCATGGCATAATCACAAAACTGGTTGAGACTGAACACTCTGATGTTCGTTTTCTCACTGGAAAAACTTACAGGGAGATGTAGGATGGTTCAAATTGTACCCAGTTACTTTCCCATAGGCATTACCTCAGTCTCAGCATTCTTCTTCACTTGCACAGGGAAGAGACAGGGCTCTGATATAATCAACATCCTAGAGAGAATTCCATGTTCCATCCGCTCGTGCTCAGCCTGCAGGAGAGGATGAGTGGAGGGGTTCTGTAGTGACTGTGTGTGATGGAGTCCCAGCTCTGAATTTGCAGAGCTTGGAAGAGCAGAGCTTCTCAAGCATTGCTCCTGCTCCCCCTGGCAGCTGCTCCTGCTCTGAGGGCTGGGCTGGCACCTGAGCTGCAGCAGCTCTGCTGGGGATAACACAATTTCTGTTCCCTAACCCAGCCTAAATATGTCAAATATCAGAGATACTGAATTGCTTCATCTTAAGGTCTGAGGAGGGGTTAAATGTGACTTGTGAATATCACTGCAGGAATATTTACATTAACACCAGTGAAAGGGGGTATTTTGCTGTTTGAGATTTGCTTCTGGTGATCAGGATGTTGATTGCTTTGTGTAGGATTAATACACTCATGTTGAGTGGAAAACAGCATAAGCAAAGGAGAAATGATTAGAGGTCATTTGTCTTCTGATCTAACCTTGCCATAAAATTTTCTATCACCAAGGACAATTTGCTTCCTTTGTAAAATCTGCTTAGTACTTCTGATCCCTAAAGGAGTTAGAAAGCTATTTGTCAATCACTTTGGGAGTCTGGGAGATTTTTGACTGATTTATACTAGTGTGTGAAGGATAGTAAGGAGTAGTTGTAATAAAGAGAGGGCAAGACAGGCTCTATTTCAGTTTTTGGAAGCATATTTGGCTGCATCTTAGTGTTTGTTATGAGATGGAAAGGATGGAGCTTCTCATTGAGGGAGGGCAAGACTCTGCATTTAACAAAATATCTAAATGAGTTCATAAAACTGCCAATTAATTAGATTTTAAGATCAACGGAAGCATTTCTGTTATGGGGGAAAAATATGATAAATTTCCCATCTAGCTGAAATGTGTAGATGATTAGACAAATTGCTTATCCCAGGATAAGCATAAATTTAGGATTTTTTCAGATAAACATCTTTTAAAAAGTCCATTAAAGTACTCTTCTCATGAGGAAGGTGCTGTGTGGAAAGTAGTAGGAAATTCCAACTGTGAGCAGCTTACAAACTGATTGCAGTGAGTGGTCCCCATAATGTTTGTGTTTGAGCAGCATTTCACACAGTGGGACTTTCATCCTGTTTGGGTCCTGAGTCACTGCAGGTTAGACAAGTCCTCCCAGCACCTTTTGTTCTCTGCACACTTTCTGACATGTCAATATTTTTCTAATAACATCATGTCTGGGACTTCAGGCATTACTTCAGGTGCTGTCATGACCAGGCTGTGTGGAGATGGTTTCTTGTTTGCTCTGTTTTGCATCATTCTCACAATGGGGCAAGTTTAGCCCTTCCCCCTGACACTTCATTGTGCAAAAAATGAATTTGGAATTCAGTTACATAGAATCTCTCAGCAGACCTGCTTTCTTGGTCTGTTCACACAAAACATTTAAATAATTATGTTACCATTTTAGCTCCCCAATATTTTAAGTTTGAATTCTGTTTTACTTTCTTCCTCTCTGATGTGATTAATTTAATTTTTCATGCACTTGTGACAGAACATTTTGAGTCATGTGGTGCTGAAAAAGCTTGCCAGCTACCTGACATGATCCATCACAGTCTGCAAGGTTATGGCCAGGAATTCCATGGTATGCACTTCAGTTGTGCAAACTACAGCTTGTTTTGCTCTCTGAAGATGACATTGTCAGCACCAGTTCAGTTAAGGATGAATTGGAATAATGTTTGTGCAGTTTAAGTGTGTGATTTAAACTGGGCTTTGTGATGTGGAAAAGAGAAGGGTGGTCTTTAATCCTTCAGGATTGGATTTCAGTTCATTTGGGATCATCTCTTCAAATGAAAGCTCTGTGATTATGGATATTTTCTTTACTTATATGCCCCAGCAGCACTTAATGATTTCTCATTTCATTGGCATGATGATCCTTTTGTGTCATCCTTGAGCTGACAGAAAATGTCCTGAAACCCACTCAGTCTTAATGCTGTCATTAGAAATTAGTATTTTGATTAAAAGCTTTATTTTAAATATGATTTCTCACAGGTGCAGCTTGTTGGTTTAGATGAGGAGAGCTCAGAATTCATTTGCAGGAACACCTTTGATCACCCCTACCCCACCACAAAGCTGATGTGGATCCCAGACACCAAGGGAGTCTACCCAGACCTGTTGGCCACCAGTGGTGACTACCTGCGAGTGTGGAGGGTGAGTGAATCCTCCCTGGAAAATGAACCATGAACTGAATTGTGTTGTATATTGGTCTCTTTTTCACTCCAGATTTTCTTGACTGCAATAATGTGACTATATGAGGACTGTAAGGGAAGCAGAATTATCATGGCAATTGCTGTTTTAATCAGCTTATTGAAAATGGAGCTGGTAGCTGTGTTTTCCAGAGCTTTAGGATGTAAAGCTGAGGGGAAAGAAACCTAGGATTAACTCCTAATGTTTTGTGCCAGAGGAACAAGTCAGGTGATGTTGCTTTTTTAAGTCAGATGTTTGATTTTCCCTAAAGGTGGGTGAAACTGAGACCCGGCTGGAGTGTTTGCTGAACAACAACAAGAACTCTGATTTCTGTGCTCCACTGACATCATTTGACTGGAATGAAGTGGATCCTTACCTGTTAGGTGAGACTGATAAAATGTTATGGTTTTGGCACACTTTGTAATTGAATGTGATGAAGTCTGGGCTGTAACTGCTGTTGTGTCACTGCATGTCCACTGGTTAATCTGATAATTAACCACAGACTGCTGCATCATAGAAACTGCTGTTGTTTCACTTTAAAAAATTAAAACAATCATGTCATGGGGACTTTTTTTTTTCATTGAAAGGTGCCCTGTTCAGTGCAGAATGGTCACTCAGGTTGGACTGGGAACATTTGGGGATAGGGAGTCTTGGTCTTCAGGGCTGGTGAGCTGTTGTTGCAGTTCTGAGTAAGGATGTCCATCAGCTCTGTGACTTACTTCAGGGTGTTCTGGAGTGAATTTGAAACTGTGCACTGAGCTGTGTGTTTTGTGAAGCCATTTCAGCAGCAGGAGGAGAGCCAAGAGTCCTTCATGCAGTTGGAGGAGGGGGCTGAACACTTAAGGTTTAATTATAGCCTACAGGAAAAATGGTGAATCCGGGATGACTGATGCAGAGGTTTGTTTCCCAGAAGAGAACAGCCATTTATGTCAGGGGGATTTGCCCAGAGATTAACAGTGATAATATGTCCTAGTAATTATTTACTACATTATTTATTTTTTGTGTGTTCCATGTCTCATCTCTTAAGAGGTTTAGTGCTAACCCCACCTTCAGCCCACATCAGCAATCAATTAATAATAACACACCATCAAATCACTGATTGAATTTGGGGTTGGCACACACGAGAGATGAACAGGATGGGAAAGCTGATCTCACAGTTGCATCAGGCTTTGGAATAGATGGAAGCAGACATGAGCTATTTACACTTTATTCCTGTGTGGAAGGCTATTTCTGCAGTTAAAAGGTTTGGGTCATTTAAATGCATGGAAGACTGCTGGCTGTTTGACATTCTTGATTTTAGTCCTATGCTGTTCTCGTGACTGTTTTGATCTGTACATGTTGGGGGATGTTACATTAACCCAGGAAGTGATTAAATCATTTGTGATGATATTAATTTTGCTAATAAAAGTGGTTTTGTTTCAGGTACCTCTAGTATTGACACAACCTGCACTATTTGGGGTCTGGAGACAGGACAGGTTCTGGGAAGAGTAAATTTGGTGTCTGGCCACGTGAAGACCCAGCTTATTGCACATGACAAAGAGGTGATGGAGGGTTTTGATTGTTTACATTGCATCTTCTAAAAGCACTAGAAAAGGAACAGAACTTTTTTTTTTTCCTTGAACAATTTAATTATTCAAAAAGATCGTTTATGTATACAGTTTTTCTGAAATTATATACAGTTTTGAGTACCTAAATACTGCTGACTATGGAAACAATTATTTTACTCATCATAGACTCTGGACTTAAGAACGTGCTTGTTCTATTCTTAGCTAACCTTCTGATCAAATCTTTTACTATAATTTGACTATAATATATGTCATAAAATAATAATATATATTCTTTTATTATATATAATATATATCATAATATATTATATAGTCTAATATAATATAGTCTCATATAATATAGTATAATATAGTATAATATAATATAGTATAGTATAATATAGTATAATATAATATAATATAGTATAATATAGTATAGTATAATATAATATAGTATAATATAATATATTATAATATAATATAGTATAATATAATATAGTATAATACCATATAATATATATCATAATACATAATATAATTTTTTATTCTTTTACTATAATTTTACTATAATATATATCATAAAATAATAAATCAAACCTTCTGAAACATAGAGTCAACATTCTCATCTTTTCCCTCATCCTAAGAACTCTGCAAACACCACCACAGTGCCGTGCTGTGCTGGGTGTCAGCTGTGCTGTGCTTTGCTGTGCCGGGTGTGAGCTGTGCCAGTTGTCAGCTGTACTGTGCCAGGTGTCAGCTGTACTGAACTGTGCTGTGCCATGCCAGGTGTCAGCTGTGCCATGCTGTGCCGTGCCAGGTTTCACCTGTGCCGTGCCAGGTTTCACCTGTGCCGTGCCAGGTGTCACCTGTGCCATGCTGTGCCGTGCCAGGTGTCAGCTGTGCCATGCTGTGCCGTGCCAGGTGTGAGCTGTGCCATGCTGTGCCCACAGGTGTACGACATCGCCTTCAGCCGCGCGGGCGGCGGCAGGGACATGTTCGCCTCGGTGGGCGCCGATGGCTCGGTCAGGATGTTCGACCTGCGGCACCTGGAGCACAGCACCATCATCTACGAGGACCCCCAGCACCACCCGCTGCTGCGCCTCTGCTGGAACAAGCAGGACCCCAACTATCTGGCCACCATGGCCATGGATGGCATGGAGGTGAGGCAGCAGCTCCTCTCCCCTGGCTGCTGGGGCATAACTAATTTATACCCCGGCATTTATGGTAAGGTGGCAGCATCAGTACCTGAAGTATGATTAAGGACCAGTTCTTAGTGCACTGAGGAGTTAAAGTGACTTTGGCATTATAAACTTGAGCTTTATGGCTTGTATATATTTCAGCTCATTTTTAAGAGTTGGAGCAGTTGGGCAGTAATTTTCACCTAATATCTTTGAGTGACTTTGTTCTTTCCCAGTGCAGCTTTAGTTTGTTACCAAGGCTGCTTCAGGGAAGCACAGTTTGTTTGCCACTGTGGCCTAACTCACAAGACCTCTGTCAAGTCTGGCTTCTTTTGAGACACATGGCACAGCTTTAGGAGCAAGGCTTGCTTTCCTACCACATCCTTTAGGAAAGAGCCATGTTTATAGCCTTACCTCAAAATATTTTGTATTTGGAATAAATTAATTTTTTTAATGCAGTTTATTAATGTAGCTGACTTTTTTTTCTGAAGGTTGTGATTCTAGATGTCAGAGTTCCCTGCACCCCTGTTGCCAGGTTAAACAATCACAGAGCATGTGTAAATGGAATTGCCTGGGCACCTCATTCTTCCTGCCACATCTGTACAGCAGGTAAGTGAGACCTACAGGAGAATCTCAGAGTCTTCTGCTGCATTTGCAAAATCCTCTTCATCCTAAAGTATATGTAATTCTCCACCTGCCTTTTGCTGAAGAATACTTGTAATTTAGAAGCTCTTTATTAGGTGACTTTCCTAAAATGTTACAGAAATAGGCACCTACTAGAGTGATGAGACCAGTACCCAAACTGTTCATCAGCTCTGGCTAAGCTCCTGTTATTTTAATGCTCCTTAGCTTTTTTGTAATGCAGTTTTAAATGTTTTCTCTGTTATGAGTCCCACTGGTCATTCATTTATCAGCTCTGTCTTGGATAATGTGTAATGATCCAAATTTATTTTTTTGGAACATAATTGTGCTGTTGTATCTGGCTTGAATGTGGATCAGGACTGGAACAGCCATGTCTTTCCTGGCTCCTGAGGCTGTAGGCCTGTAGTGGGCACGTGTGGAGATCCTGTTACACTGACTGTGCTTGCATTTGTGTCTGTGTACAGCGGATGATCACCAGGCTCTCATCTGGGACATCCAGCAGATGCCTCGTGCCATCGAGGACCCCATCCTGGCCTACACAGCCGAGGGAGAGATCAACAATGTACAGTGGGCATCCACCCAGCCAGACTGGATAGCCATCTGCTACAACAACTGCCTGGAGATCCTCAGAGTCTAACTTTGCAGCTTGGTGCACAGTGAGGCAGGGCTGTGTCCTTCCCCCTCCCCTCTAAAGTAAGAACACCACCAGTCAAGTGGCCAGTATCTGTTGTTGCTTTGCATCTGCTGTTACAAGAAACTGTTACAAGAATCGATGGCAGGGGTCTCCTGTCTCTCAAGACTCTAAAATGCAGAGACGTGCTGAGCCTCTTGGAACTTCTGGGTTCTGGTTTTCTTGTGAAATTCTTTTTTTCCCTCAGTAAAAGTTCTGTATATTTGTTTGTTGACTGTATTAATAAGCTTGCAGGCTTTTAAGTTGCTGCATATGTCCATGTGTTTGTCAGCCAGCTGAGGCAGCACATCCACCAGTTTAACAGATGCAGGTGCAAAACAAGGTGGGGGGAAAAAGACAGTGATGTTAACGGCCACCTTGGCAGGAATCTTTATCATTCCTGTTGTTGCTGCCTCTAAACTGTTTAAACGTTTGTATGTTTTTTATATATTGGGCTAACTTTCTATTGAGTAAGGTTTTTCTCCCTAATTCTTACTTTTGATATGTGATCCACTTCCATATGTCCAAAGCAGGACCTGTTCATGGATACAAACCACAGTAACACTGCAGGCTCCCTGGCAGTAAAGGCCTGCCAGAATTAACTGTTGCCTTGGCTCCCTGTATCTGGTGACCTGGGCAGAATTTTCTGGTGCTGTGAAGTACAAGTACTTGTTGCACAATTTCTTTACACTTTTCTGATGCTCAAGGCAGTTGTTACTATGGTAGGTCTTATTTTTAAATTCTGACTGAGTTTGTGTGTATCCTGCAGTGGTGTTAGCAAACAGAGCAGTGATAGGTTGAGAATGAAGATCTGTGCATGATGTGAGCTCCCAGGAGGTAAACAATTCCTGAAAAAATGTATTTGTAATGGGCTTGGGATTGAAACTTCCAATCAGATTATTTTCCCTTGGAAGACTTACCTTATCTAAATCAAAGTAAAATGGTTTCACACTTTGTAGCTTGCTTGATTGGCAAATAGTATGAGCAAGATTTTGTGGTTAGGCTCTACTTCTGAGGTAGTGTTTGGCCTGTGTTCCTGGGAGGTCTTGAAGGGAGCAAAAAAGCAATCTTGTTGTGAAGTGTATTTGCTTTATACTGCCAGGTCTTGTTGAATGAACAAGACAAGTCAGAAGAGCTGGTCTGCTACCCAAAAGAAAGCTGTTTTTTTGAAAGAAGTTACTCCCTAAAGGTGGATTTGGAAGGAAAGAAGCTGTGCCATTGAGACTAAGGTTTGGTATTTGTCATCCTCCTGACTTTGGGGGATGTGCCAGAGGGCTTCTGTTTGAAATAGTGATCCCTCTACAATAATACTATTCAATGAAAGCTGAGTGGATTAGGTAAGATAAAAATCCTTGTTGGAGTTTTACCATAACACAGATCCTGTGCCGAAGGCTCTGCAGTTCTCTGATGAAGATATCAGAGCTGCTCTGGAAGGGTGTGCAGCCCAGTTTCGATGTAAATGTCAGAAACCATCAAAATTCTTTCCACCTAATGAGTATTCACCTGCAACTGGAGGCAGATTATAAATAGCAGGACGCTGGAAAACTTGCATCTTGTCAGTTTATGCAGGAAAGGCAAGTTGGGAAAGCGGTTGCTGTGGAACACTGAAGCTGACGCTGAGAACACTGTCAAATACAGAACAGAATCTGCAGAGTTTTGTCATTCTGGACATAGAGAAATACTCTTCTGCAGGCTGCTTCTCACCGTGGAGCTCAGAAAAGCATTGCCTCAGGAATTTGATAGGAATTCATTAGGGGCAGCTGTGTTCCATCACTCCTTTTGATAGCAGAGAACCAGGAGGCTAACACTGTGCAAGCTGGTGTTTTGTCAGTGTGTTCAGTTGTGGGATTTTGACAAAGCTTGATTTGACTTGAAGGTCAATTTTTCTTATTAGCAGCACTAGTGAGAGTGGTGTGTTCCACAGACAGACTTTAGCTGGATGTCAGAGCAGTGTTAGCCAAACAATCACTTTTTGCAATAGCACTTCATCTGAAACTGGAAAAAACTTACTTAGGATGAAGCAAAAATTGGGGTTTTCCTAGCAGGAGTGACTAATGGCATTCACAGCTTTAGGAGTCATCTGAAACACATTCACAGGCTTGTCATGCTCTGTTTAATTACAAATGGCAGGCAAAAGGTGCTGTTACTGAGAGGGAATTACCTGCAATGTTAGTGCTTTCCATGTCCCCTTTTTGCTTCAGAGTTTATTCCTGTACAGATTCCTGCATGAGTCAAAGATGAATGCTAAGATAATGTGATCTTGTATAAAGGAACTCATGGTCTGAATAGCCAGGTAGATTCTGCTTCTGTTGGAAATCAATCCTGTTAGGAAGCTGAAGAGGATTCAGTGTCTATTCTTGCATCCCTGAAATTGATGGAAGTCTGTTTGTGAAATTGTGTGCTTACTCCAAATGCATCAAAGGCAAGTGAAGGCATCTTGGATTCTAAATAAGGCCTATATCCTGTTTTTTTTTAGCCAGTTGGGATACCTTCTGGATCTACAGCATATTGCTTTGGGCATAATCCATTGTCATTCTTCACAAGAAATTACATTTTAAATCACTAGAGACTGTTTTGGCACAGGGAAATAATACTTAAAATAACTTCAAAGATGTCCCTTGAAAGGTTAATGAGTGAAAAGACATGAAAATCCTCATGGGTGAGATGTTCTGTAGTGCAAATGGCACTTCTATATAGACAAGGAAGGGAAAGACTTTGGTGCCCTTTTGCCAGCAGCTGCTGTGACCCAGTGCCAGGGAGGGAATGCTGTGCTTGGTGTTTGTCTGCAAGATAAAACAAACCCTGACACTTGTGAATTGAAATACACAGATTATCACAATTCCCCTGTTTACACTCAATTTTCTAGGGTGTAAAGCCCCCATTAGCATTTTTTTCCCCAAAGTTCATGAAAAGAAATACTTTGATATTCAGTTTCTCTTATTTGGTGCTTACTGCACAAGCAGAGGATGCAGAACAACTGCTTGCAAATACCTCATGTTTTTTGGGTAGAAAGTAACATTCAGGGAAGAGTGAACACAGGTGAGGTGAGCCAAGCAGAAAACCATGTGCTGCTGTTGGTGCAGCCAGTCTAATTCTGGGACAGAAATAATTCTGAGTTAGGAAGTTCTGTATCACTTCTCCAATTGATTAACTCAGGAGACTAAATTATTGTTTGGTTGTTATGTTCTGTTTAAACCAAGCTTTCCACAGATTCCTACTATTATGTGGGCAACCTGCTGGCTCTCAGCCAGGAGATGTTGATGATGTAAAATTTGTTAGGGAGGTGAAAACCAGCAGTTAACAAGTTGAATGTTGAATTAGTGTGTAGTGTGCCAACTCTGTGAACTGTCTAAATGAGGAGGGCTATATGGTAGCTTGCATCTGTGGGAATTGTACTTGTGTGTGCAGGGATTAAAAAGGCAAGGATTTGAGTGCTTTGACAATCTAGTTAGAAAGAAAACACACTGGTTTCAAATAATATGAAAGGAGACTGCTAAAACAGGTTGTTTCTTATGGAACCTTGAAATGTATTTAACGGGGGAGGCATTGCCTCTCATAAGTCAAAGTTAATGATCCTTTCAAAACTTAGCAGTAATTACTCTACTGAATGTTCTGGATAATAGTGAAAAGCTCTATTTTTGCCTCATGGTGCAATGAGAAGCTGCCTCAGTCTGTAGATCATAGCCTGCCAGAGACCAGGTGAGGGGAGGAATCTGATGTACAGAATTCACAGATGTTCTCGTGCTTGTCAATGGAAATAAGGAGCTGAGCGTGTCCATTTTGTTCTCTTGCAGATGGCACTTTAACAAGTATATTTTTGGTAAGATTAGGAGGAGAGTCATCTTTTCCTCCGCCCTTCTAGGGTCGGCATTTGTGTTGTGTAGAAAATGTTAAATAATGACTGTCACCAAAATCCTAAACTGGGGATGACCCTCGCTTGTTTTTGCGGAAAGCCAAAAATGTGAGCACTTGACAAGGCTGTAAATGTTAAACTGAAGCTTCATGTTGTGAGACTGACACTGTCCTGTAAGGCCAACCCAAGGGATGTGCTGCTGCTTGTCCCCCAGAGAGTCCTTTTTGTTCAGGAGCTTGGTGGTGTTTGGGAATCCTCTTCTTTACCATCAGAACACGATGGTGACAGCGCTGGGTTGGTTGTGTAGGGATGTGTCTGGAGTCTTTGGATAACTTGAATTTTGTGAGAGAGAAACTGCAGCTGCTGCCTGGACATTCACACAGCCTGAAGCATTGAACTGCTGGTTAGTGGTGTTTTAACTCTTTCCAGACACACCGCAAAGAGTGAACAGCAGTACAGCCAAGCTCTGGGCTCAGCAGGCTGCACAGTTTCAGTCCCATCAAAGTACTAGAGGGCTGAGTTTTCCCATTGCTTTTTTCAGTAGCAAAGTGGTTCCACCACCTCAAATGCACAGTTATCCTGTCAGGTAACACAAATTCTCCCTAACACGTGTTTCCTGCCTTCTGCTCTCAGAGCAAGCCTGTGCCTGCTGTTCTGTGGACATGGAAAGCAAAGAGCAGGTCACTGTCAGCTCTGTCCCAATTTCTCTTGATCTCTGCAGAGAATCCAGGGAATTAATTGTATGTGGCACTTAAAGAGCACTTTCTGATGCAGCTGTACTTCCCCTGCTTACCCAAGAAGAGTCAGAAATGTTTCATTCTTGAGGGTTTTGAGGAGAGTTTAGGACGCCCCTGACTTGGTTTGTTTTCTGGAAGGGATCTTCAGAACTTCCAATCAGCACCTTTCACCAGCAGTAAAAGGAGCAGTAATTAGAAATGCAGCTAAATACCAATCACTGAAGGCTCATCTGGTGATTCATGGCAGACACCAGATGCAAAGGCACTTGTGAGAGTTGCTGCTGCCTGTTTCAGGTGACAAGTGTGTCTGCCAAGGATCTCAGTGGCCTTGTGTGCAGCCTCTGGTACTTAGCATCAAGCAAGAATTTCCATAGTCATAAAAATAATTATCTCAGTGGCTTCCATCAAGCTGGTTTCTTTATAGGAAATCTAACAAAATTAAGGGGAAAAAAAAGCTATTTCCTGACAAAATATCGTGGCCATGTGCAGCTGTAAACCCATGGTCCAGCTCCCATTCCTTGGAGTTTGTTTTCCATGTGCAACTCCAGCCCCTCTTAGTGCTGAGGGTGGGTCTGTGGGGTCTTAGCAAGGCAGAAAAGCAAAAACCAGAGCAGGACAGTGTCCCAGTGCAGCTGGAAAAAGGTATGTTGCTTTTTTTGACAACTTGGGAAATAGGAATTATGAAATCTACTATTTAAAAAGAACCTTTTTTTTAACCCTTGGGTTGCTAGCAGTGTAAAATGTAATTTAAATCCATTGCGCCGAAGCATTTTTGTTACCAGTAGCCAAGTAGGAGATTCTACTTTTAGGTGTCTTTTCCCTTCTGCTCTTCCCATTCACAGTCCTGTTGTGGTAATTTCCTGAAGGTGTAATCTTTGTAGCATGATTGTACAAACATCCATATGAGATTCCTGACTTCTTGTTCTCACTTAGAGTATGTTAAAGCAATAGTAATTTTACTTCTGTCCTTTTCTCCACCTGCAACTTTGCTACTATTCTGTCCTAGAGGAGTCCCAGTATCCTGCTATTCAACAGACATATATTGTTGACATGGATAACTGCAGTGTCCCTATATTCCTTTATTTTTATGGAGAAAATATAAAAGGGTTTGTTACAATGGATTTTAACACCTGAGTCATGGAACCATATTGTTGAAACTGTAAATTTTAAGGCAATTTTCTGAACTCGCTTGAAAGTGGAATGTTGCATCCTTTTATGCTGTTTCCTGCTTCCTATGTAGTTTTATTCAGATTTTTTAACCTTCTTTCTAAGTTTCGGCCTCCTGTGTATTAGGTACAGTATTTTCTGCCTTTCATACTTTGTAATAAAAATGGAACATTTGTAGATTGACTGCAGTTCCCTGTGTGATGAGTGAAAACCTGGGGGGAGCAGGGAACTACAAAGACACTTCATTCCTTCTGTGTGGAGAAGAGGAGGCTGATTGCTTTGCCTTGCCTCTGCAGAGCTGGTGAAGTCTATTGATCCCTCATTCTACAAATACCCAAACAAACTTGATCATTCCAGCTACCCTTAAATTGCAAGTTTCCCCAAATACATTATAGGAACCCAGTCACTACAGAACTCCAACAGA